CTTGAAAAAGGGATGGTCCAAATAGCGTGTTATAAGATACATTTTTGTTTTTTTATCTTCCTATCCAGGTATCTTGAAGTTGAGATGATCAATTAGATAGCTCTCTAACATCAAAATATTATTTTTTAATAGGTTTTTGAGATGCACCTTACTTCCACATTATAAACTTGACACCATATACAAACTTTTTCCATCGTCGAAGTGCCAGTAATAATAGAGATTTATTGATTAAAAGTAAAATATTTTATAATTATTCGTAAACACTTGGATGTTGGATATGGATATTAGTAATAGGGTGCAGTTGGCATACGGATGCATCCGTAGGTGTAGAAGTTAGGTATGGTCACTATGGTATTGCTACCTTTTTTTTCAATTTTATTTATTTATTTTTGGGTATTTTGGTAGGAATCAAACTAGAGATGGTAAATGCTGGTTTTAAATGTAATGTAGTTTCCAATAGGGGTGGCAACATGTCGGGTTTGGGTCTGGCCAGACCTAGACACGGATTCGAAAAAAATGTACAGGACTCGGACCAGGGCCTGGACTAGAACCAAAAATAAATAAAAAATATAATTGAATATATTTAAATACTATATTAAATATATACATGTATTAATTAAATATTACAACTAAAAATATATGGTTGTATTCATTTAACTATTATTTAAAGGGATTGTATACAATGAGACCATTTACCTTTGATACAAGTTGATTACAATTACTTACAACTATCCAATAGAAAATTTGATAGCTTGGATGTGTCACAAACTTTGAAAAAATTTCTTTTGAAGTTTGAGCTTGTTCAATAGAATAATTTCACCTGCCCAATTTCACATCCAATGGTCAAGATTAATGTGACCTCCTTTTACCAAAGACAAATGGTGTCATTATATACTTTCCCTTATTTAAATACTATTTAAATGTTATATGTTATATATTATATAAATAATAACCCTATATGGGTCAGGTCCACATGAACTTGGACCCAAATAGTATTCGGGTATAACATTTGGAACTAGACCCAAACCCAACCCGCCGAATCTAATTTTTGGACCCATACCCGGACCCAAGTCAGGTCCGTATCCATTGCCAACCCTAGTTTCCAACAGTGAGGTTATCATCTTTCGATCACAATAGTAACATACACACTTAGATGTAGAAGTGGACAACTAGGTTGTCAATTCTTCATACAAGCACAAGAAAAAGAATTCAATACTACCTTTGGCTTCCATAGATAATCCGTATCCTTGTATACTTTTACAAAACTTCTCCAACTTTTGTGTGGGGATATAAGATGCCTCAATTGTCAGATTTTACATATGACTGCTCAAAATGGCCGAGATATCCCATATTCCTAGCCCTAGGTCAAAATCGCGATCTCATTGGATACAACCCCAACATTTAAACCTGCAATAATGTTTGTCACTATGTCAAAACGATGAATCGGGGATAGGAAGTTAGGCAGGGTCATGGACAAGCCAAAACGTCTGAAAAAAAAAAAAAAAAAAAGGGAAAAATATGTTTAAAGTAAAATTAAACAAAATACATTTAAATGATGTTAAAAAAGCAAATGAAAAAATAGATTTTGAACACATCAATTTGCGACGAGATTATTTTAGAAATGGAAAAGTTTATATAAGGGCAGGGCCCTAAACAATCAAATTAAGACGCACTTCAAAAATTTACTAAAAGAAGTTGTTTAGATGCTAAAAAATCTTTAAATTGACGATCTCAACCTCAAGATATATAGGCATAAGAAAAAATAGATTTCAATTCTTGGACATAGTGCAGCTTGTAATGCATTTTTGGACCGTCAATTTTCAAGCTTTTCAAGTGTTCATGGATCTGCTCAATCTACATTATTATTTAAGTTTTAAATTTAGTAATTAAACATGAAAGCAAAATTTCAAGCCATCACAAACATTTCTCCTATTAAAATATCATCTTTCAACACTATTTGAAGGTGTACCTTACTTTGACTATTTAGAGCCTCGACCTTATAAAAATCACCCCCCTATAGAAATTAAAAAAAAAGAAGATAAGCTATAAAGATTATATATTCATTGCCAAAACACTTTCCAATTTTTGTCAAAATGGTAAAAACATAAAAGAATATATTACAAATCAATTTCTTATTTTTTGGATTATATATATATATATATTAAAGGATGCCTGAATTGACCACCAAATTAAAAGCATCCCGGAGGGGGCTAACATGAGCTAATGGAACTGGCTTCAAAGAAGTGGTCTCTTTACACATTGAGAAGCCATTTTATCTTTTTTTTGACAAATGTTATGAACTTATATTAAAGCAATGCTTCAAGAGAATGAGATTACAAATATTGAATCAAATCATTAGAAACTTGTAAAAAGAAAAGAGAAACACCATATTTAGCTAGCCCATCAACAACATCATTGCCTTTGCATATAGTGTGGCCGAAGCTTATCTTCAAATTAGGCTAGGCACAAAGGTCTTAAATTTTTAACCAAAGAGTAAATAGGGATCAGGGGATCTTTTGCTCTTTTCTACATCACTTGATAACATTCAGATAATCCCCTTCGATTACAAAATCACCAATGAAACTCCTCTCAATGGTAATATGAAGGCCTTGAAGGAGAGCAGCCCGTTCAGCATGATTGGATGTTGTAGACACACAAGGATCCGAATAAGAGAAAAGAACCAGCCCCAAATTATTGCGAAGAAGCCCACCAACACTTGCAGGTCCTGGATTTCCAAATGAGAAGCCATTTTATCTTTCTTTTTGACAAAGTGTGTGTGTTTACGCGCACATTGGAGGAGGGAAACGATTCGATTCCATCTTTTTGTAATTTCAATGTTCCAAAATTGATCACAACACAAAATATAAAATTAAAGGATTATCATAAGGATGCGGTTTGTATAGAGCCTAAGCTCTAAACAATCAAAGTAGAGCCTACCTTCAAATAGTGTCGAGAAATGTGGCTTCACTAATGAAAATCTTTGTGATAGCCTTAAAATATATTTTTATATTTATTTATAAAGTTTAAAGCTTAAAAAATAGTGTAGATCAATAGATCTATAAAAACTTGATAATCTTGAAAATCGATGGTAAAAAATTGCGTTACAAAATACACTATTTCCAAAACTCGAAATCCAATTTTTTCTCATGTCCATACATCTTGATGTTGAGATGATCAATTTGAAGATATTTGAACATCAAAACAACATCTTCTAATGAAATTTTTTAGCTAGGCTCAAACTTGATTATTCATAGCCTCGGCTCTATATAAACTTTTCCTTTATCATAAAAACTTCAAATAAGCTCCCCCGTTTCTAAAACTTACGGTTGGCAGGACGTAACCTATTATACTAAAGTAGAACTTATTTTGACTAAATCACTGCGACAAATATTATTTGCATTGAACATTAAAGAAAACAAAAAAAGGAAATTTTATATGATGTTGCAATTTTGTACCTCAAAAATCATAATAATTTGAAGTTGGAAAACCTACAAACTAATTATTTCAACCTTGTATGAATATAAAATAAATTTCAAGTCCTAAACATAATACATGCATTCATCAACATATATAGAGTACTTAATAATGGGTGTGGTTTGTATAAGGCGAAGGTCCTAAATCGTCAAAGTAAGGCGCACCTTCAAATAGTGTCGAAAGATGTTGTTTCAATATTGAACATTTTTGTGATAACCTGAAATTTATTTTCATCTCTAATTATAAATTTTAAAGCTTCAAAAACAGTGTAGATCAAGCAAATCTATTAATATTTGAAAATCTTGAAAATTGATAGTTCTAAAATGTATTACAAGATGCACTTTTCAAGACTTGAAATCCATTTGTTTTCCATGTTCGTACATCTTTAAATTGAGACGAACAATTTAAGGGATTTTAGGCATTGAAACAAATTCTTTTGGTGAATTTTTGAGGTGCGCGGTAATTTGATTGTTTAAGGCCTCGCCCTAACCACATAAACTAAAAAGCTGAGTTATTTTTTCTCTCTCACGGTCAGAATCTCATGCACAGCCAAAAAAAACAAAAAAGAAAAGGCAGCTTTATGGACAATGGAACCAGTGCTCACATGGGTTATGTTCTAGTCAACATAAGCCGTCCACGTGTTTAGATTATCAAGGATTCTCTTATTGTGGTTAGGTATGCTTTTTCTATTCTATTTTAATTTTCTTGAATGGCAGGAGAAATTTTCAAAACGAGGCACCAATCAACCCAGGATACGAATATAGCCCATTTTTCAACCCAAAACACTAATAAAACTTTAATTTCTAACTCACCCAAAATCATAATTAATTTACTCAAAGTTACTTTTTATTTTTACTTCTTTTAATATATTTTTTCTATTACATCCTGGTAAAGATAACTCTTTTGTTTTGCAGTATATCATTTGGTTTTTCATTAATCTTTGAAAGCCTCTTTTTGGACCTGGATATTGCCTTATAATCACCTTGTGCCTACATTTATGGCTGGAGAGAGAGAGAGACATCCCAATACCTACATTGCTGGGAAGAGGGAGAGCCCAGTGCATACATTTCCTGGGGTAGAGAGAGACCCATAATGAAATTTAAAAAATGCCTGCCGGGTTACGGAATCTGGTTCGACATGAGAATTAATCACCCCATTTTGGTTATGTGTATATATAGAAAAACGGCTAGAACCAGCGGTTCCATGCAGTAAATGACGATTCTTTATAGTAAAACGTGATGATCCGAACCGCCAATTCACCATTCCAGATTTTTTTTTTTTTGGCCTGTTCACTGTTTTTTCATGTGTTTTTTTGCCGGTTCACTATTGTTTTTTGCATAGTGAAAGGTCGATCCATACCTCCTATTCACCGATTTAAACAGATTTTTGGGTGCCCGATCCAAGTGACTGATCCGTGTTTTAAATCACTAAGTAAAATGATTAAAAGTCCAGATGTTCACAGTACTTTTAGAAATAAAAAAAGTCCGAAAGAATATCCCATAAAGTAAAGATAAGGGATGGACTTACAAAGGTAGGGATGATATCCAAATCACGTGATTTTCTCGTTTTCTTCAAATCAAACTTCAATCCATTTCCATTTATATATATCTCAACACACTCTCCAAAGATAGAATATGAATCAGCATTCTAATTTTGAGTCCCCAAAAGCCTATATATTCATATGGGAATCCCACAACTAAAACCGTTCCTATTCTCTTCGTTTTTTTGCTGGTTTTTTGTGAAAGAAAACATGAAGCTTTTGCTCATCTTTCTCTGTTTCTCTCTCTTCACCTCGGAGGCCCTGGCCCTGCATCATCATGTAAGACAAAGCAGAAGAAATTTGCTCGCCAATGGCCTTGGTTTAACTCCTCAGATGGGGTAAGATTTCTTTTACTTTTTCTTTTTTATTTTTACCAAAACTCTTTTATTTCTTTCCAGAACTTGATCACAGTACATCTATCAAGCACTTGAACTTTTATTGAATTTCAAGTATTTCAACTCATGGTCATTTGTTTTTTGATGAGATTTTCGAAATTGAATCGAATAAATAAGCCAAATTTTAAATAGTTCATTTTTTATATGAATTTTGACGAATTTTTCTTTTCTTCTTGAACTTCAAACTCTTTTGTTGCTACAATATAGGGTACTCCCCCATTCCTATCCCGATCGGAATAACTCATGATTAATGAGATGATAATTTTCTATGTGAATCTCCAAGCACTTTAGCCAAGTGTTTAGGAACATGGGGCTTGGACTGTGACTCGCTGCGGCCATGCCCAGGCCGAGTCTCCCAAGTCAAGCCGGGTATTGTTTAACAGAAAAAAAAAAAAGATAAAAGGAAAAAAAATTAGGCATTGCGTTAGAAAAATAGATTCGAGATGAGATTCTTTTAGCCTTGTGATGCTTTAATATTGAAGCATACAAACCATGAGTAATCTTATTTGATTTGATAATGAATCAAACTAATCAAATACTCCAACATTATGTTGCTGACCAGGCAATCCGGCCACTAGCTTTTATTGCTCTTTATGCATCATGACCGAAAGGGAAGAAATGAACATTGGACCCCAAAAGTCTCCTGACAATTATTTTAACCATCGGATGCCACCCAACACACACTGTCGGTGCAGCTTTTCAACACACACTGAAAAAAAACTCTAAAATTCCTCCCAAAGTACAAAATTGGAACCCTCTTTTTTTTTTTTTCTTTGGATGAAACTCAAATAAAAATAGAGATTATTTTTTGATCGACACAATGAAGCGTTTATAATGTCTCAATAACCCCATAAATACCTCTATATACATACAATTTTCCTCTTGTTATTTATGTATAATGAAGATAATTGTCTATTTCTATATTGCAGATGGAACAGTTGGAATCACTTCAATTGCAATATTGCTGAGAAAACAATAATAGAAACAGGTATATCATGCTTTGCTTTCTTCCATTTTTTATTTTCTTTAATTTTGCTTAATCTTCGTTCATTTTTTCCATAAATGAATTAATCATTGGTGGAAAAACAAATTTTGAATGGCTTTTCTCTTCTATATGCAGCCGATGCTCTTGTTTCAACTGGGTTATCCAAATTGGGATACCGTTATGTTAACATAGGTGATATAACTTAATTCATTTTCAAACTAACTTTTGTATTTGAAAAGATATATTGAACTGTATATCTTATTTTATTTTGTTCTAACTTAATCTTTTATAGATGATTGTTGGGCTGAGAAAGAACGTGATTCCAAGGTATGCAATAATATCTGCATCTTCTTTTATTTTGTACATTAAACTTTTAACTTATTTTCATTATTTAAGGTCTTCCGTAATTTCGATGAATTTAAAATTCAAGATAATAAATGGAAATGCAGGGTAATTTGGTGCCAAAGGCATCAACTTTTCCAAATGGAATCAAGGCTCTTGCCGATTATGTCCATTCAAAGGGGCTTAAACTTGGAATATACTCGGATGCGGGGTATCTCTTCTCCTTATATAAAATTACAAATTTCTTTAATTAGTAATTTCAAAGTTTCTCTTTTTTAAAAAAAAACTAAATTTTGTCGATATTTTTTCTTCCATTCCAGGTATCAAACTTGTAGCAAAACTATGCCAGGATCTCTTGGTCATGAGGAACAAGATGCTAACACCTTCGCTTCATGGGTAAGGCTAGCAAACTTTGGTGTTACCTTTTTTATTTTCCTTGACTCTTTTTTCTTGTAAACATACATATAGTATACAATGATATCATTTATCTTTAGTACAAAGTGGTCACAATTCATCTTGATCATTAGATATGAAATTTGATGGCTGCATTTATTTCATTGACCAAACTCAAATTTCAAAAGGAATTTTCCCAAACTTTGTGACATACCCAAGCTATTGAATTTCACATCGGATGGTTGTAAGTGATTGTGACTTCTTTGCATCAAAGGTAAATAGTCTCATTGTATACAATTCCTATATATAATTGTTAGATATATGTTTTTAGAGTTATTTTTGGGATGATCTTAAAAATAGTAGAAGAATTTTTTTTTAAAAAAAGATAATTTTGAGCACATTTGACTCAATAAGTCTTATCACAACTGTTGGGGTCGGCTACACGAATGATGTTATGCCATCACCCTCTATCAAGGGCTGTAACTCAATCAGGTCATGAGTTATCTTATTTTTTCTTACTACTTCCATCCATATCCTTTAAGGGATTTCCCTTGCCCTTTAGAGCATTCCACTCGAAATAAATTATCCCACCTAATATAAATGTAAAATAACGGCTACAATGCACTAACTCTCTTAGAAAAAAACAACTGTTTAGGGTTTCTCTTAAAAACAAATTTGAACGGGACCTTCTCTAATGTCAGCATGATACATGTGCAGAGAAATAAAGCCTTGAAAACTATACGTAACACCAAAAATCGGGGGAGATGAACTTGTGCAGTATTTGCCTCTAGATTAACCTACTCGTGTGTGTTTGTGATACACAAAAGACCAAAGGTCAAAATTATCCCACATTGTTAAAATTGAAAACATGTGGCTAGGATTGTACCAATAATCTTGCTACGAATTTTTTTTTCGTGGACTCTAGATGAAGAAATGATACATCACAACCATCCAATTTGACATATGACGATTTTGGGGACCTTTTTATGCAAAAGGCAATAATCTTGCTTTATTAGTTATTTTAGGAGTTTTTGGGCTGTGGGTTAATGTACTTTAGTAAGCTATCCCAACCATCTATTTAGATTTGGACTCGCATCTTGATCTCATGTTGTATTTGTGATATTGCAGGGGATTGATTATTTGAAATATGATAACTGCAACAACGATGGATCAAAACCCCCAGAAAGGTACTCCAATTATTTTTTTCACAATTTTATGATATAAATTTGGCAGATAAACTTTGGTCAAATGAGTTACAAAGCCAAAAACAAAACAAAAAGGGAAGAACATAAATATATGTTAGGCCAGATGAATCCATTAGATTGGTGTTGGCTCCATTTCAGTAAAACCATGTTTTGATGTTTGGTTTCCTTTGTGATCAGGTATCCTGTTATGACCAGGGCTTTGTTGAAGACAGGACGCCCTATATTTTTCTCTCTGTGTGAGTGGTAAGTTATGCGGTTGAACCTTTTTGTGTAGTAAATAATATCTTAAAAGAAAAAAGGACAAGCTTTCTATAATTTTGCTACTATATAAAACTTATATACTTCCCCGTATCCAACCATTCACTTTGTATGGACGCTTGAGATAGCCCCAATCACAATGTTGAGAGTGTACACTATTTTATTTTTAATATTTTATCTATAAAAAGATTTTACTACTTAAACTCTCACCGGTAAAAATTACAATAAAAATATTTTTAATAAAATAAAATAACCAAAATACCTCTAGAAGTTTGAGGAGCATTTTGGTTATTGTATGTTGTTTAAAATATTTTTAGATACGACCATTGAGATGATAGCACGTACCAGATTTCATATTTATATAATTTGTAGAATAAAAAAGTCAGTGATTCACATTATCTAAATTGGCCTGCTGGATGGGGGAAGTATATATCTTCTATACATCAAGAGAAGTATATAAACCTTTCCCAAGAAAAAATATTGAGCCCTATACTCTTGCCAAACAACCCATTAACACAAAATAATAATAATAAAATCCTAGCACTAAAAAAGACTGTATTTAATGAACATAAATAAATACCAAAAAAAGGAAATACCTTGGATAAGAACTAATAAACCAAAGGAATTAACTCACTAACATGAGAACTCTTTCCTATACTCGATTGCCTTTTTTCCACTTTTCTTTTTCCTTTTTTTGTTCATTGTTTATTTATTTAATGTTGTTGGTTATTTTTTGCAGGGGTGATTTGCATCCAGCTCTCTGGGGTGCAGCTGTAGGGAACAGTTGGAGGACCACCAATGATATCGCCGACACTTGGGATAGGTAAATAATTTAACCTCAACGAATTTTGCCTTTAATTCCCCAACTAAAGCCAAAAGATATGGTCCTGAGGCCGCAAAATGTTCATTTACGCCTTCTGGTAAAAATGTAGCAAGGAGTACTTTTTAGGACCTAACCTCCTCAATCTAACAACCAACCTAAAAAACAAAAAGAAATGGATGCTGACTCCATACCTTCATGTAAAAATAACTTCTTACAGTTGAACTGAATGGAGAATGTCTAAAGTTAAGTTTTGGATAGTCTGATCTAGGAGTTTGTGAAATAAGAATCTTTTTTTCTATTTTTGAAAATAATCATTTGATTTGATGATTATAGAGTGAGTTCCAAAATTTTAAATAAAGAAACCTGCTAATACGTCTTTTCTTGACTGATTAATGGTTTGTTTGGTGGTTTACATTGTTGCAAGCATAGCATGATTTCTCGAGTGGACATGAACGATGTATGGGCACCTTATGCTCGGTTTGGAGGCTGGAATGGTGAGTGCTCTCGCCCAATACATAAAGTTTCCATGTGAAAGTATCATCTTATTTTAAAACTCACAATTATCCCTAACTATTTATTATGCTTAGTTGTATGACAAATGATGATTATGGGCCTCATTTCTTTCCACAAAGTTCAAGGAAAAGCTTTTGTACTTTGTGTGCAATCAATAGCATGCCTTTGTCATTGGATTTTTCCCCTCTAATGGGTACAAGTAATTGTAACTTTCTTTTATCAAAGGTAAATAGTCTTATTGTATATTTTCCCTATTAACAAAAAACATTTTATCAGTTTGTCTTATATCCTTATAGGTTATAAAGGTAATGAATCTTTTCAGGCAAGTATACAAGCGTAAAGTAACTAAATAAATGGCAAAAAGAAAAATATAAACTATGAAACTAACCTTGTCCTTATTGAAATATCTATATAAAGAAAGGCACCAAAAAAAAAAGATCTATTTATGGATAAACTCTCTTTTGGGTTGAAGTTTCTTTAATGTGTATAATTGAGGTCAAGTTAAATTATAGGGTCTTGTGATTAAATTATTAATGGCGTATGTGTATATTTGGTTCATGGATCAGACCCAGACATGCTTGAGGTTGGAAATGGTGGAATGACCAAGAATGAATATATTGCCCATTTCAGCCTTTGGGCCCTAGTAAAGGTAACATTTATGTCTTCCTCTTTTTTCTTGTTTTTGGTTACTTTATATGTTTTGGCCCTATATAGTCATCCTAATAGTTGTGTCCCAGCTGTAGCAGGCACTCATCATTCTATATAAATACCCTTGTAATATCATTGCTTTTTTTCTCTTTTTTTTGATTTGTATAAGATTGCAACTTTAAACAAGGCACACCTTCAAATTTTATCATAAATTTACTTTTAGTATATATTTTTTTAGGATGGCTGCCGGAGAATCTATTTTCATCACTAATTATAAAATTTTAAATTTTAAAAATGGTTAAAATCAAGTAGATCTATAAAAACATGAAAATCTTGAAAATAGATGGCTCAGATAACATGTGGCATGACAAGATAAACTATTATGAGACTCGAAATATATTTTTCATTTCATATTCATACATTTCAATGTCAAAATGATCAATTAGAGGACGATTCTAAGATGAAACAAACCTTTTATGATGGATTTTTGAGGTGCACCTTAATTCTACATTTCCCTCTCTTTTATCACTATCATTGGACCAGTGGAGTGTTTTATCGGCAAGTGGCATTTGATCCCTTAAAGGAAATGGTACATGTGTGGAGCACCAAAATGGCATCACCACTTATTTTAGGGCCAAGTTTAAGAGAGTCTCATTCCTAACCTGAAAAAATGGGTTGTCCAAACAGGCCTTTGGCTTACAGTTGTGTTTGTCTAAATATCATTCAAGTTGAGCTATTTTCACTAACAATGAAAAAGCTCATTATCCTAGAATTTTATGGTCCTAGGAAATATTTTAACAGAAATCACCTAATAATGTTATTCTGTGACGTACAAAATAAATGTGGGGTTGCTTGATCGATTTTTGTTGTTTTTGTAGGCTCCCCTTCTCATAGGTTGCGACGTAAGATCTGCCAACAATGAGACACTTGAGATAATCGGCAACGAGGAGGTCATTGCCGTTAACCAAGGTAGAGGCCCTAAATGAAAATCCAAATCACTCTTGGCCATCCAATGTGAAATCGAGCAACCGAGGATGTACCATTAATTTGCATTTGGAGTTTGAGATTTTTTTCTTGAACTTTATATGAAAAAATGACACATACATGAAAGACAATAATCTCATAGAGCATAACCCCTAAATTAGTAACAATAGTCATGGATTTTTTGAGCAGATCTTCTTGGTGTCCAAGGCACAAAAGTTAGGATGGAGGGAGATCAAGAGGTATGATCCTTTCAACACTACACTTAAAAGAGAGGGAGTCCAATTGAATTGTGGTTGAGCCTAAAAGTACTTATTTTTTTGTTGTAGATTTGGGCAGGACCACTGTGGGGAGGTAGGGTAGCGGTGGTGCTATTGAACCGAGGACCGAGGGACTATGAAATAATTGCTGAATGGGACGATATTGGCCTCCCCAGCACCGCAACAGCTAAAGTCAGGGATCTTTGGAAGGTTAGTTCAATTTCTAACTTCATTAATACTATTATTAGGTTTGGAAGGTCCCAAAGTTCCAAGTTAATCTATGCTTGTGTAATATTTGACATTTTAGGCGCATAGAAACTTGTTTATGATCTTTCTTATTGCCCTAACTACAGGGAAATGTTTCTATACTCCCCCTACTATATCGGAAGATATATACTTTCCCTCCATCTAACTGTCCAATTTTGATCAAGAAGCCACTGACTATTTCTTCAGAGTATTTTATTTTTATTTTTTATTACAAATTATATGAATAAGAAATTTGGTACGTGCCATCATCTCAATGAAGTGCACTTAAAAACAATATTAAAAAAAAAAAAGGTAAAATAAAATATCCGAAATAACTCTAAAACTTTTAGGGGCATTTTGGTTGTTTTATTTTATTGAGAATATTTGTTTTATATTTTTTTATAGGTGCGAGTTTAAGAGAGGAGTGGACACTCAAATTTTGGTATCAAAATACTTTGTAAAATAATACAATAAAATAAAATAAAATAATGTAGAGGATGATATGGTGATTGGGGCCATCACAGTCGTCCATCCAGAATGGACAGTTGGATAGAGAAAAGTATAGAAAACTTGCCCCTTATTAAAATCTCACGTCAAAGGAGTCATTTCTGAAGCACCAATGTTAGGGTTTGTATTTCTAATACCGATAAGAGAGTGAAATGTAAGAGAGTGAAATGTAATACACCTACCTAATCTAGATTATTAAATTTAAATTTCTGGGTCCTATTCGATTTTGTCGGTTTAATCTCAGAGTTTGTTCTCTGGATCTAACTCCTTGTTTTTGGTTTGCAGCATAAAACATTGAAGAAAACGTTCCATAAAAGATTAACAGCTACAGTGAAGCCACATTCATGCAAAATGTACATCTTGACGCCTGTCTCTCCTTGAAATCGTTTTCCTATTTTTATTTTTATTTTTATTTTATTGTTTTTGGGCCAACCAATAGCCCACAAGCTTCACTAGAGTTTCTTTTCATGTTTTTATGAAATGTAACCAGATTGCATAGGGCTTATTAATAATGTTAGACTCCCCTGCATTTACCTCGGAAACTGGTAACATATAACAAGTTACTATGTTTGTTTTGAAGTTGTGAGCTGCCTTTTGTACTCCCTCTCCCTCTCCCTCTCCCCCTATACATGCAGGGTTTGTAATTTTGTATACAATGAGACCTGGATACATGGAGGTCATAGTTACTTACAATAGCTTGGGTGTGATACAAAGGTCGGGACAATTTTTTTTGAACTTTGAGTTCGATCAATGAAATAAATGTAGCCACCCAATTTCACATCTAATGGTCAAAGATTAATTGTGTTCACCTTATAGAAAAGCTAAATAGTCGCT